GCTGCGACACAATCCAAAACACTACACTCCTTTCAGAAAATTTTGAAAAACAATCGGTGGATCTGCACAGCATCGTCAGACCAAGCTACAATATCTAGTGCTCTAGTTTACTCTGAATTCTCCATGGTGCAAGCGCACCAATCTCATCTGTTTCAGAGGATAACAGTAGATAAGCATACCACTTCGAAAAGCAGGCAAAGTTCTCAGTTTCCACGAACAGCATACATTGCACTGATTACGCTTACTTAAACCAATATTCTCGAAAATGTATCTATCATTCAGAGATACTAGCTACAATTTGTGGCTATTTTGAGTGCCAGACGTGAGATATGACTTCCTTCCTAGGGTTATTAAGCGATATATATATATATATATATATATATGAATACTTTTTTGTGGAGCTAACCACGCTAATCTTCCTAGCTTTAACTGAACTGAACAAAAACAACTCACCGCATCACATGCCTCATACATCCACTCATATAATACAATGCTTTTATCTCACGACACATCATTTCTTGACTCCATTTGTAACCCATAATCGGTCTATAGTTGTTTTATCTTATTCTGGCAACGTCTAAAGAGGCTATTATGCATCATTTAGTCGGGTTTATTTAAAGTATACTTAGCCTAGATTTGCTTCCTATCTTTGTAGGTCAATCACGGATGATTGGGGTGGGACAGTTGGCCGAACACGTGCAAGCACTCAAGGCTGACAATGGTCGGTTGATGGCTGCGGAATTCGAATCGATCGATCCTGGTGGACAATTCACTTGGGAGCATTCAAACCGCCCGGCAAACCGAGTCAAAAATCGTTATGCCAATGTGATAGCTTACGATCATTCACGTGTTGTGCTCCAACAGCTTTCACCCTCCGATGTGGACACCGACTACATAAACGCAAATTACCTTGACGGCTATTGTAAACAGAATGCTTATATTGCAACTCAGGTTAGCGATTGTTGAGAGCACTACGCTTCCAGTGTTGAAAGAAACCTCCTAATTATGTTTACCATTCACTCCGTAATCTAACAATATTTCAGCCGACAGCTTTCAGTTTTATCGCCCAAAAAGCTAGACTTGATCCACTATGGATCGCACAACCCAGAATGACATTTAAGGCGCTGGAATAATTTTATGGTGATAGGTGCGACCAAATGCTTTTTATCTTTATCTATAGAAACGGCCTGTATTCAAGTAGACGATAAATTACACCTCCAGACACTCCCATGAGACTATGTGTAGACGTTCCAATATTTGCCGAATGCATTCTTTCGTACAGCAGTTCGTTTTTTTACGAAGAACTCACTTGGAACCCAGCTGAACCTCTCGTTTATGACATTGTTCCACTGAATGTGTTGTACAAAGGCCAGATCATGTTTGATTTGGTACGATATTCGAGCTATCGTGGTGTATTTTCTTAAAGGAAACTACTTACAAGGTTGTTGAATGTTCTTTGACAGCCCACGACCGATTGCGCACTTTTTGGCTCTCATCATCAGGTGCTCATCATAAATGAGAAAGTTCTCGGATTTAAATGAGGCCAAATGAGTACATTTGTCTAACATCGTGTATTTTGGGCTTCATCATCGATTTCCAGAGTGGTAGCCACCTTTTGCTAGTTGTAAGCAGAAAGCAACCGTGGATCCATGGTCTGCCCTGTCCTATTCATTCCATAGCGTCACCGGTGACCACTCCTCAAATGGTACCCTTATTTACCATTCGCTTGTTGCGAACAGATATCATCTGCATCAGCTGTCAACTTCCTCTATCATTTTCGTTTTTTCCCTACTTTACCGGATCACACTTCTCCCTATCTTCAGGGTCCTTTGCCCCAAACGGTCGGTGACTTTTGGCGAATGGTATGGGAACAACGTTCCGCAATGATTGTGTCCATGACGCGATTGGAGGAACGAGCCAGAATTAAATGTGAACAGTACTGGCCAGGAAATGGTTCCACGCTGGCAAGCCCCGCACAAACCATTATCAGTCCAACAAGATTTGGCAAAACCAAGCACTTTGATCCCACGTTTGGAGCCACAGACTTGGCAGCCATCAAACCTACCTCACTTCCGCCCTATCGTGCAAACTCGTTCTCTACAGCCGGCCGGACCAGCGGAGATAGCAGTCTGATATTCGCAAATGACTTGTCACAAGCGCTGGCCATGGATGATTTCGGTAGAGTAACTAACCAGTGGGCACCAAACTGTCAGGAACTCATGGGAGAGGCACAATACGGCGATATTACTGTAGGGCTGTTGGATACGATAGAACTTGCCTACTACACAATCCGGACATTTATTCTACACAAAACTGGGTAAGCCGCTGTGATTTATCAACATTTGTGTGAATTTGCAAACTAGGAATTTGGAAGAGATTCTCCCCTGGAGAGCCCAGAGCGACATTCCCTAGCGTCCATAGTTTTATGTCACCCGTCGGCTCCCGTTAAAGTCAGTCATCTAGAGGCCTAAAAGCCTTTACTCTGTGATATCCCCATTTCAAAAGAATTACTATGGAATTTGACCTACCAACGGGAAAAGACACTAATAATCGGCTAGTAAATGCATATCCCTCAAGAAAGAACGTAAATTTAGCACCTTGAAGTGTTTCACTGTTTATAATCAGTCTATTCAGAGACTACTGTACGTACAAGATTTCCCTAGGCCATAACACTACGCTGAACGGACCCTGTATGGGAACTTTGCACACTAGGGTTCCACGGACGGGAAAAGTTAATACGAGATCTCAAAGAATGTGACCATCTGGGACGGTACCGTAGACGTATCTATCGATCGGACTTGGTTATGGATGTACTACGTAAAGCGGAGCATCGTTCGCAATTGAATGATTATCTTTCGCATGAAACGGTTGAATCTTTTATAATGAGCATGTATAATAGATAATCAATGCCGTTCAGAAGGCGTGATTTGCTTCGTCTAGGTATGGACTACTAGCAATCGGCCAGCTAGTTGTGACATGACCTTATCTTTCTTACCACCAGTCATCGTGGTTCTAAGCGGAACCGCCTCCTGGTATTTTATCATATAGAAGTGCGTAGTTAGAATATAAAGTGCGTTTTCGGTTGTGCAACGGGTACTTCCATTGAAGAATGTGTCCAGCACCAGAAGCTGCGTTGGTTGGGACGTGTGTTCCGAATGCCAAACCATCGTTTGCCGAAGAGAGAGGTGTTTTCCATACCCAGTTCAGAGTGGCGTAAACAGAGAGGTGGCCAACCCTTGACTTGGCAGAGGAGTATGAAGGAGATCACGAAAGGCTCGGGTGCTGTCGGTGCTACTCGCCTGCCAGGATGGGGACCGCGTGATTCTCACTGTGCCTGGTTGGAGACACTACAATATATGACTGCCAACCGATGTCAGTGGCGTTCTTGTTGTCAGTTTCTATCCAGATTGCCTGAGTGAATGTCTGGAGGTGTAGGCACCTCGGAATGATTGTGTTAAGCTAGCACTAAGTCCCTCCCAGTCTACATTTACCATTTTCTTCAAAATAAGCCCTTTAAATAAATCATGGTTGTACTTCAGTGAAGCACCAGCGTTGAACACTGATGTCACGTTGTCGATGGTGATGATGATGATGATGATAATGATGATGATGATGATATAAAGTGCAGTGAGACCGCTTGTAAACTGCAAACAATTTAGGTAGTGTATCTGTTAATAACTGAACCTTAAGGAAAACTATGTTTCACATTCAGTTGGATTCATCACTGTGGTCGTCCTTACAGTGGGCGTCAAATTTATGTACAGTTCGACAGCCGCTGGCAGGGTTGCTTTGAGCTAACAAGTTCGCATCAGTATTATGCATGCTCGAAAAAGCTATTGAAAAAACCGCTTGCTCAGGAGATGTATTCTTGCTATGCTTTCCTTCCCATGAAATTTCCGTCAATTTATTGCACGCGACATTACATCTAGCATTGGAGTTTTCGGGGTCCAGTTTTCACATTTGAGCATGAGGCACACCTGTTGGATTCGACCATCAGCCCTCTCGGTCTGTTGGCGGATACTCTCATCACTGCTTGACCGGAACTGGTGCTGTAGTTTACACCTGTGTTTAGATGACCTGTGCTTGGTGAAGGTCAGGTTCTGGGTTGGAAGTTGACAATCCGTAGCTCAGCAGTTGAAGCTGTGTCGGTGTTGGAAAGACCTTTGAATAATGTAGCTCATCCGTGCAGTCAACCCGTAAAAATCGCTACTTAACTGATCTCCTCATTTGTATGGTCTGCTTACCCGAAACCATGTGCTTGATACGGTTTTCTGGGAGGTCTTTCGACGGGAGGTCATATGCAATACATGGCATGATTAAAGTGGAAAAACTCAGTCTCATTGTCAGTATTTTGGTAGCCGATCACGGAAGATCTTTTGTTTCCATTTGAAGTACTACGGAAACTCGTGAAGTTCGTCAACTTCAATTCACTGCTTGGCCAGACCATGGCGTCCCCAACCACCCGGCTCCGCTGCTGATGTTCTTACGGCGCGTTCGGGCTGAATGTCCGTCAGATTCCGGCCCAATCGTCGTTCACTGCTCAGCTGGCGTAGGTCGCACCGGTAAGTGTGTTTTCATACTCCACAAACATCGAACCCGATTGTTGCTCGTTCGTATCACCTTTCTCACTGGTGATTCCATCTTCCTTTAGGTGCATTTATTCTACTAGATATCCTTCTTGAACAAATGCGGCACGAGAAGGCTGTGGATGTCTTCAGTACGGTAAGTCGACTCAGGGCCCAGCGGAACTTCATGGTTCAAACTGAGGATCAATATGCATTTGTTTATGAGGCTTTGGTGGAAGCCGCTGCCAGTGGGAACACTGAACTGCCCGTCCGACAGCTTGAAGCGCATTGGTCACGTCTGACAAAACCTAACAGTGGTTTGAGTTCAGTGACCTCGGAAGGCAGCAGGGAAGACTCAACAGGATTGGCACTGGAATTCTCCCAGTTGGTCGCCCAGTCACAGCTTACCACAGGAAGCTCCTTAGTACCAACTAGTGTTGGCCTCCTTTCTCCGATCGACCCAATTTCGATGCACGATGAGGATAGGGCCACAGGATGCTCCAGTATTCCGCGGATGCCGGCACTCGGATCGTCGAATTTCAAAACCAGTGCAGCCAAACTGAGGGTGAGTCACGTTATCTGCCGTTCTGGATTGAAAACAAACAAGACTGAATTGAACTCGACTTGTCTAAAACTGACGATAACGGCACAAACCCTGTTGCTTAGCGATTTTTACCACCTCATTGTGTCGAAGCAAACGACGTGGAAGGCAACATGAAAATCAGTGTCAGTCCCTTCCCTGGAACAGCTGTGCTTCAATCATTCAAAGTGATCCGGAAGCATAGAAGAATAGACTTAACTGAATTTTATTCGCTCGAGTGGTTGCTCACACTAAAGGGCTGTCCATAAAATTCCATGACTGACACAAGTGACCGTACAAACTGTATGTCCGCTCTTCAGTAACAGAGTGGTCCTTGAATGGCGTTTGACAGGATGCATGCAAGATTAGCCACTATCCATTTCAGCGCCAGCACACTGATTTGGCCTGGACTGTATTTGCTTATTACTCAACAATCCGTAACACTTCATATATGCATATATTACTAAGAGGACCAGAAATCGTTGTTATCCCTCATGCTCATCCCAAAAGTTTTTTTTAAAACTCATGCCTATATGAAATGTTCCCCTCTTTTTGTTGCTGATGAAACAGGTGAACTTGACGAAAAACCGACACCCAGATTTCGTACCCCATGACGCCAATCGAGTTGCACTTAGAGCGGTGCGTGGAGTGGACGGTTCGGATTACATCAATGCTAGTTACATTGACGGCTACCGGTCTCGTGCCGTATACATAGCCACACAAGCCCCGCTTACATCCACCCTCGAGGACTTTTGGCGCATGATTTGGGAGACCGGCTCATGTTTGATTGTACGCCTGGAAAGCCTACCATGTTATAACGACCCACGGTCGATGGATTTGGTGAGTTTGAGACTGGATTATCACTCACAAAGTATTTTCTCGTGTTTGTAATCGGTTATCCAATCGGAACACACTACTTATAACATAAGTTGTAGTCAGCGGTGTTTTGAGGTGACAGCACAACTTGTCATTCCGGGTGAAAATTGTATCACCGGTTGGTTTAAAAGTATGAAGAACATATAGCTGACTAAACCCCAGTGCTTTAAAGAGACAGTCAATACGCACCGAGATCTGCTAAAGGATTTCTTCTAGAAAGATCATTTTCATAGTGACTACCTGTGGATTCAGTGTTAGCATATAAAGATCCTGAAGGCTCAGTCGAGATTACACTCCACCAGTGAAGTCAATCTAAGCTGGAAGCCGAGAGATTTTCACGACTACTTCTTCTTTGGTTGCAATTTTGGGGTTTTGCTGGATAGGTATTTTGCTCATAGTCACACCACCCTCGTTCGAACGGTCGTGCTCCTGTTCTGGCGTAATTATTCCGGTGAGTCCACAGCAAAGGGAAGCACTGGACTCGAGTTTTGCTCTTATTAGAGCTCATCAGCGGTGCATATCCAATGGCCGTGCCGGGATTTGAACCCCAGACATCTGACATGCGAGGCGAGCGTGTAACCACTACTCCACCAACGCACTTTGGACGCATCCGAATTTTCACATCTGAACAGGTGTGCCCGACCCATCAAACGACGACCCAATAACTGTCCTGTTTGTGACGATCGATTGACCCACTCGCATCGCATGTCAGATGTCTGGGGTTCAAATCCCGGCACGGCCATTGGATATGCACCGCTGATGAGCTCTAATAAGAGCGAAACTCGAGTCCAGTGCTCCCTTTTGGTGTGGACTCATCGGAATAATTACGTCTGAACAGGAACGCGACCGCTCAAACGAGAGTGGTGTGACTATGCTTCTTCTTTCTTAGAAACTTCCCAAATCGCCAGGATGGTTCAAATTCGTAACAAACTGTCCGCTAGTTGAAGACAATACTATTCCACTGAAAACTTGAAGTTTTATTAACTCGCACGACCACGTTCAATCCGCGTGGTCACGTGCTGATTGCCTCTGCAGTAACGAATTCTCTGACGAATCAACGGCAGATCTCTGCCATCAACAGCCATGTATACGTGATGGTCCTAGAATTGTCACTGGGAGGTGTCGATTGTTTCCTGCATGCTAGACTGCTTCGTGTCGCCCATCGGAGCTTTCTTTGCATTCTGGAGTCCTCTGCGGAGACATCGTCCCTAGGTCAGTCGTTTTAGCTCATCTCTCAAGAACGAGTAACTATTTTCATAAAGGAAACTACTCACAAGGTTGCTGAAAACTCTTCGACAGCCCACACCTTGTGAGTAGTTTCCTTTATGAAAATATACTGCGATATCTCGAATATCGTGCCAACTGAATCATGAGGCGGCCTGTGTGCAGCACATTCAGCTGGGGGACATCATAAACGAGAGATTCGATTGAGTCTCCCGTGAAAACCAAATTGATTTGCAAGTGAGTGTATTTCTCGAAAACGAGTAACTATATTTGAAAGACGTGACATCATTTTGAATCTGCTTTGCTTCTTATGGAGATTGGCGCACCTTCTTTGATACTTTCAGTTCATGTAGATAGAAAATAAACACGTTTTGCAATTCGGTTACAGTGAATTCGTTGACCCGGTTTCCTTAAATTTCAGCCAACCTACTGGCCAACCGTTCAGTCCGTTAGACATGGATATCTGGTTGTGGATCCGATTGCCACTTATACAATGACAGCCTATGTTATGCGTGAACTCCGGCTGACTGATACGCGGGACGGAACGAGTAGAACTGTTCGACAGTTTGACGCCACACCAACCACTGATGCAATGATCGATTTTGAACTAGATCCACAGTCACCCCACCGGCTGCGTGACACCTTGTCTGACGGAGTGGACAGCTTGGGCGCAGCGAGTTCTCCACCGGGTTCCAGTGTGGACACAACACTACCACCACCACCCGCGATAGCATCTACCCCCGAGGGAGTTGGTGGAGGACGAGCGAAAAACCGTCCACTGTTGGCTAATTTTCGGCAACGTTATAGATCGCTTTGTGAGGCGGTATTAGAAACGGTTATTCAGGTGCACAAAACGAAAGAGCATTTTGGCATGGACGGGCCAATAACCGTGCACTGCAAGTGAGTCTGCACATTTGGTTAGCCACAAAATACATTCCAAGAAAAAAGCGTCACAGAAATTTTTAACAAGGTACTAGTTGGTCAGGTTACAGTTCAACCTTATTGTTAGTCACTGAGTCCCTAGTACAACATTTATCTGGAAGTGCTTACTCAATTCACAGTTGGCTATGGCGTACATTCGTCAAATGCGCCTTGCAACTCTCATACGTATAGCAACCTCAGACTTTCCCTCTTAACAATGCACATAGCATGGTGCAGCAAAAGCTTATCACCGTGCCACCCTGCCTCCGTGACAACCTCCTCAAATCGAGGGCTAAAAGCTGGCTCGCAGAAATGTGACCGAGTGCCATCTGTCCGATAAGTTGTAAGCGATTAGACATGGTGTGCTAAACTGCACTTGCAAATTCCTGCGCGGCGAATCGAATCATCATATCCACCAGGGTTTCCTATCGGAACAGCTTCATGAATCACGCACGACGCCTTCGGCCCTCGACCACATAGAATGTAGTCATGGGTGGGGGTACTTTAGTATATTCCATCGGAGGGTGACGAGCGTTTCCCATTTAAAATCAGTCGGTGATCCAACCATGTGTGGCCCACATGACAGTCATCAAATTGTGTCACCTTAACCAATGTAAACGAGCGATATGAGCTACACAGCGAAACTCGTGTACTAACGACAGTGGAGGAGGCAGCTTTTGCTGAATTTGAGCACAGCAATCAATCGAGCGTTTGTTCAGCTGTAATGCTCTTTCGGTGCCCAGATGCTGTGCCACCCGAAACGAGCAGAAGGGCTGGCAGTTTGCCCAAGACTAGTCGAACGACGGACCTACCGATCAGTAAGTTCACGCCTAAGCCACAGCCATCCCAAACTCAGAATTGCGCAGGCCCAGAGTGAGAGGTGAAACGGGTGAGATGTTCTGTCGTTCTATCGGCATTGTGCAGGTGAGGTCGACAAAAAGGGCGGTTGTGATAGCAGTACTGATAAGGACAAAATCTGATTGGGCACTTGGGACGACAGGTTTAGTTCTGTAAAATACCCGATAGTGTGAAGCACCGAAAGCAGCAGTGTCAAATTGTAGGGGTCCGGAAAGTAACAATGCGTCTGTCACCCAACAGGTGGCGTGCTTTTAGGTCGTCACATTTATCTAAAACTAAGGAACAAGTGTACGGGAGAAACCGAGGACGGAAAAGGCTTATCGAACCACTGGGTGGAGCGAGATGGTTCAGTGATGAGAGCAAGACCGGAAGGTCCGTGGTTCGAACCCGACCTCTGTATCGTAACTTATGCCTAGGCTTAGGCAACCTGGCAGTATCCCAGCCCTCTTGCTTCCTTCAGGTGGCATGGAAGCTAGGCACTGAAAGGGTGTTACAACTAAATTTATCTAAAACTAAGGAACAAGTGTACGGGAGAAACCGAGGACGGAAAAGGCTTATCGAACCACTGGGTGGAGCGAGATGGTTCAGTGATGAGAGCAAGACCGGAAGGTCCGTTGTTCGAACCCGACCTCTGTATCGTAACTTATGCCTAGGCTTGGGCAACCTGGCAGTATCCCAGCCCTCTTGCTTCCTTCAGGTGGCATGGAAAGCTAGGCATGAAAGGGTGTTACAACTAAGCGATTATTATTCGGTGGGAACGAGTAAACAGTTACTGATGAAAGTAAGCAGAGACTCCGGACCTCAGTTGACGCACAGCGTGTCTCGTAGCATCAGATTGAAGTATCTCTCCATTTTACGCACCGTCGCAGTTCACTGTGCGTAAAATGCGCAACATTCACAGGTGACACCGCGCGTCACGTGCTGCCGAGGACGACAATGGTCCCGTCGCTCAGGGCCACATAGGTAGTTTGCTAGGCTTCCGTCCGGGTCATTCTGAGACGATTCCCATCCAGGAACACAGTGAGAAACATATATAGAGGGAACCGGCAGAAAACACGGCTGGAAGAAAGCATTGGGCGATCAGTCAGATGAACCATCGCTCGAACTCCACAGGGGAAATAGTAAGGACATCGGTGACTAAGGTACACAGTCTGACCACTCATCAGTGGCCCGGACTTGAATAAAACCTGACCCTTTGTTTCGTATGAGAAAGTAGCTCCTATCGCTTAACTTCGATCTGGATTGCATCCGTGTTCTATGCTCCATTGGGATTGATTGTCCGTCCAGTCGAAGCAAGTCAAAGACAGCCCAATACTGTCGAGAATTTTACTTGGTTGACTAATGCTACTGCAGAGCAGAAAAAGGCAATAAACAAAGGACCCAAAGTTTCCCCCTGTTTGTTTACGTTAAGTTATCCTATCGAGTAAAATGTCCCAAGGAGGAGCCTCACTGTAGCGAAACCTCAATATTTGTCTACTATTCGTTTCGTGGGCCATTTTCTGTTCGCTGGTATCCTTTTTGGAAGGGCGAGATGGCTCACGCGGTTAGAACGCGAATTTACTGACCGGAAGGTCCGTGATTCGAACCCAACCTCTGCCTCTCGACTTCGCCTGTCTAGGCTTGGGCAACCTGGCAGTATCTCAGCCCTCGTGCTTCCTTCGGGTAGCATGGCAGCTGGGCATTGAAAGGTGCTACAGCTGAACGATTTTTTGAAAGGTCAACGCTACTTCACCAGTCAGTGCAGTAGTGACTTTTACCAGGTTGATAAAGAATAGTTCGCAAAAAGATTCATTGGTCACCGATAGCCTTAGATGGTGGAACGTTCTTCGTGCTTGTTAGCTGACTTGTACTTTTCTGTCATCCACTGCTTTCGTTCTTACACTTTCCCCCTCCTCTAGTCTTGGAGCTGGCCGTACCGGAGTGTTTTTGGCGATTGCAGTTGCTCTTGAACGGATGCGATACGAAGGTGTAGTGGACATGTTCCAAACCGTGAAACTTCTACGCTGGCAACGTGTCGGTTTAGTACAGACAGCATCGGAATACGCTTTCTGCTACGCAGCAGCTTTGGAATATTTGGAATCGTTCGAACGTTACGTGACCTGATTGCGATAATGTATTTTGATAATACTTCCCGAGTTGGTCGATTCTCCATATGTGCCAGAAGGGCATTTCTCCAACCAGATGATGCACAAACACACACACACACAGTCTTCCAACACTGACTTGTTTGGGCATAAAATGTACCTTCTTGCTGTGATGAAATTAACCCCTCCCCCCCCCCCCCCTTCTGGTCCTATTCACTTCTTGTACATAGGAGATACAGTCAAAATGCGTGCATTTCTACGTGGGTGTGCTTTCCATCCATATTTCCTATGGTTCAGAATTTCTTCTACCTCCATTGTTCCCATAGCACCAGGTCCTTTGCTGTCCCTTGCCCAAACTGCTATCTATCCAAACTTGCTTCGTTACATTGTAAATAAGAGGTTTGAAGAGACGGTGAAAACCATTCATTTGCCGCTCGTTTCAATATACCACCGCACCTGGAAGGGTGATTGTGACTCTGTGGTTTAGTCCACTAATATTTGTTAATGTCACGTGGCATGAACGTGGAATGCGGAAGGTGTTTCAGTATGCTGGGTCGACGGAGGAAAGGGGAGAGATTGTTCAATCGGAGACTCACTTTGAAATAGCTCCTCTAGAAATGGTCAGTGCAGCACAAATTTCTTTGGAGATTACGGGACTCTTGTGTATGCCTATGAGCATAGCATTAGAATGGGATAACTCCATCTGGTCTAGGCCGAATCTTTCAAATAGTTATGAAATATTACACCTCTCCTTAAGAGCTCGAGATGGGTCAGTAATTAAGGTACGAACTTGCTGGTTAGAAGATTCGTATATCGACCCCAACCTCTGTATCCTGACTGCTACTATCTAGGCTAGGACAACTGCCAGTATCTCAACCCTCGAGGTTCGTTTTGGTGGAATGGCAACTGGACATCTAAGAGGGTACTATAGCTGAACTAATTTCCCTTCTCCTTGAGGCAGCTACGAAGTGAAAAGGGTTGACGCGTTGAAACTTCTTTGATTCTGCTGGGTCCACTTCCTAGAAAGAGGCACTTCTGATCGATTCACTTCACCTATCAAATGAATGGGTTATTGAACTGATCGGTAAGCATAAGACTGACGGAAACTCGGGGACTGTGCCTACCTGACGAGCCCCAATAAGGGCGAAACCGGTAGTGGGCTGTCGAGCAGTTTTCAGCAACCTTGTGAGTAGTTTCCTTTATGATCGTTGGTTTGTTCCCTGTGTTAGGCATTATAATTGCAAACGCTCCAGCACCAGTTGAGGTTATATCATCATTTGTTTTGTTTGGAAGGATAATGGAGCGCAGCGATTGGTCGGTGGCTGCGTGCGCGCCAATATACGTGCCGCTAGTGGGGCTGACGTTCAATCACGATTGGTTGTTCCATCGGGAGACTCCATTGGTTGGTCTACTACCCTGTGTCCTAAATCGACCAAGTGACTTTTGAGTTTGGCCTGCCTAATCTTTACAAAGCCTCAATCCGACATAATGATAATCCATATAGGTTTTGCTATGGTTTGGTTTCATCGACTATAGATGGTCACCACATTCATCAACCAAATGGGTCTCCCGTCAATCTATTTGTTTTTCGCTACCCTGGTCAGGTTGACAACTGTCTTTTCTGATACACAACTGGACTCACATCTTAAACTTAACAAGTAGTTCAATAGTGTGGTTGCGAAATTCCATGGCTGCAGTAAAATCTTAACTGCACACATACTACTTACAGCGCCACTGAAAGAATACAAATCAGCAAACCACAGATCCTCGCACTTTTGCTTGACCCATGAAATGTAGAATATAACAAGCTTGAGTACATAAGCATCTTGGCAAATTTAATGGAGTGTAGAACAACAGGCACTGGTGAAAATCTGGTTAGACAGACAACTAGGATTACTAACATCTCCTATACTGCAATGCACTACTCATAAGGTTGCTGAACACTCCTCGACAGCCCACGACTGGACGCTTACCAGGTAGGCGCAGTCCCCGAGTTTCCGTCAACCTTTTGTTTTAAGTGAAACATGAGGCGGCCTGGTGCAGCATATTCAGTTGCCTGGAAACATCACAAACGATAGATTCACCTGGGTTCCAGGTGAGTCTCTCGAAAAACCAAATTAGTTTTCAAATGAGTGTGTTTGCGCTAATCTTCTATACTGGTTTGTCTGGCACACAACAGTTCAGATTTTAGGCTGCGGTAGAGTTTGTATCAGTCCACAGCATAGGTAGAAGGACAAAACCCGGGTAAAATAACTTCAGAAGGCAGTGGAATGTTTGTCAGACTGTGGGTTTTATTGGGAGCAACCTCGATGAATTTCGACTGATAAGGAAATAAATACCTAGTTCGTGGATGGGTGTGACAGAACAAAATATTTCGACCTGCCGAGACCTTCATACACTGCATTTTGTTTCAACAAGCAATGTGTAAAATAGTTGACTGAACGAAGTTCCACCTCTGGAGAGAACTCATTTTTGGATGTTTCCTCAGAGAATAGAGTGATTTCCTCCAGCATCGAGTTTTCCGCAGGCGAATCACCCGCAGAGGATGTGGAAACACGTTGGTTAGCTGGTTAATTCCCTCATTAAAATACACTCCGCCTTTAGAGACATCTTTTAGTGCTCCGTGGCTCGACTGCTTAGTCTCCCATAAAACACAGGCACACCGCTAAACCGGCAGTCCTCCATTTATAGGACACTTGGTCTCTGGATTTTCTTGCCTTATATCCTCCGATATTCGTTCGGATTTGTGTTTATGTAAGTGGATGACTTCACAGTACTAACGCTTTGTACATCCTTGCAATTTCAACACAAATTGTGGACACTGCTAATCGCGCTTCGATACGGTCTATTTTGCCCCCCCCCCCAGTTGTTGTCCGTATGAAGGCTTGTTCGTGACCATCGGTTAAACCGGACAAGACATCATCGGTGCTTGCGTACGTGGGTTTGTTTACAGGCCAGAACTAGGAGAAATTTCCTTCCTGAGGTTTGTTGATGGAGACGACAAAGTGGTCCTTTACTCGAGATTCAAACTCCACATCTGTAGCACCGAAACAGAGGTAAATCGTTTATTTTCAATCCCGTTTTTAAAGTTTGCGGTCAACTGTTGAACTGCAGGCCGACTGAATTAACCACCTATAGAGCAGGTAAACAGTAGAAGAGCCGGAAAGTAGTTTTACTCTGAAGACATCATAATTGTTGGCATCAGTTGAGTGTGTGGGAACTGTGCTCAAACAAACGCACCACGGGAAAAAGTCGATTTCAACAGTACGTCTTTGGATGTTCTCAAGAGTGATCAATATGAATAAGCCAATAAAGCCCGGTTTCAGAGAAGGCGAAAATCAAACAGATATTTTGAGATACACTAACGGAAAATGTGTGCAGTTTTTTCGACCAATTCATTCTGTGGAATCAAAGTAATGTATTTAGCTATTCATAGTTGGTCGTCCTCTCAAGATAAACATGGGCAAACTCTTTGGTAGTGTCTACAATGGAGGAAAACGCAACCGAGCTTACCTGTGAGGCTTATTCCAGATTCGATTACGTACCGCCACTGTTCAATCAACGTAGCACGCAATTGCTCCAATTCATTTGGTACAGTGGTTATTAACTGATATCGTACTTTCAAGATGGCCTAAATGGTTAGTGCGCGAATTTACTGACCGGAAGGTCCACGGTTCGAATCCGACCTCCGCCACTCGACTTCCCCTGTCTAGGCTTGAGCAACCTGGCAGTATCCCAGCCCTCGTGCTTCCTTCTGGTGGCATGGTAGCTAGGCACCGGAAGGGTGCTACAGCTGAACGCTGCGGCGGTATGCGTACTTTCAATGACGGCGTCAGTAATTCTCGGCCTATGTAGCTCTACAGACTGTTTTGGAGTCTACCGTATTAACTCCAAGAGCAACCTCAAAATTTGCAAGGCAGTTCAAGTACGTTTTGAACGAATAACCCCCTTCAGCACTCTCCAATTCATGCTCACATCACTCTCGTTTGATCAGTTGTACTCCTGTCTCGGCGCCATCATTCTGGTGAATCCAAACCGAAGGAGGAAAGCGATTGCTTCGAGTTCGCTCTTGTTGGAGCTCATCAGTCGTGCATATACAATGGCCATGTCGGGACTTGAACTCCGACCTTCTGACATGTGAGGAGAGCGTGTTACCACTACTCCAAAAGCGCATCCTGGATAGACAGGATTTTCCACGTCTGAGCAGGCAAATGTGTTCATGCTTGAGCGACATGATTGGTATGGCGTCACAAAACGGTCTAAAGGCATCGTTTCATCTATTTTTTACCACACTGATTACACAGCACTTTTGTCCGAAAAATGTTGGGACGTAATGCGGAACAATACAGACTCCAAACAACCCGTCTATCTTGAAGAAATTCTAGACACGGGTGTCATACACCATATTTACGAGGTCCTCACTCTAGCATGGCTGCCAAACTCAGTCGCGGGTGTTCCTTCAAGGTGGCAGCAAATTTTTTCAAGCCACAATTCTGGAGCGGCTGGTTTGAGATGGGAAAATGTTCATCATTCTCAGACGCCATAATGCAAATGACCTATTACACTGGCCTTGTCACAATTTTTGAGTGCAGCCGCTCGTTCAAACACGCATTCGTTCACTGCTGTGCGCACCGAACGGAACAAGCACTTACGTACGTTTAGCATGCCGCCAAACGTTATTGGGATCAAGATCGATAAATGTGTCAGCTTTGTAATGGAATCCTCTGTCATCTACCATGACAGACTTGTCCACAGAAGGTTTATATGGTGATGTCACTGTGCTACGGGCAGAAATAATGACATCGTTTTAGACTGCTGATCATACGACTCGGGAAGATGAACTCGATAATACCATAGCGACCAAAACACTTGGTTAATATGGATGAAGCTTAAGCAGCGCTAACCAGAGACTGTAAAGCGAAACAGATCTTCTACAGGAGCAGATATTATCAGGAACAGATTGGAAGTGGTAAAAAAAACTTAGATGGACCCCTGTGCAACAACAACTACAGTTCATTTGGTCCGGTCTACTACCCAATGAAGCGTAATTTTCGGGTTGAGGCGATCTACTTTTAGTGACAACAGGAATTTATCTTGTCCGCCTTTTCTCCACTGTTTTCACGGCCTCTTGGTTCCAAGAGCCCCGTTTAGCAAGGCGTTCAGCTCAAACTACGTTGATGACAAGAGCACGCAGAACTTCAGATAAAAGTAAAGCATACTTGTAATTTGCCAACTAGGCTCCAATGTCTGTCATCAGAAGCAGGCAGAAAGCAAGAAAGAAAGAAAGCAAAGAAAGAAGACAGACAGAAGAAAGCATCAGAAAAAGCACAAACAGGTCATTAATTATTTTGTAATGCACTACTCATAAGGTTGCTGAAAATTCATCGACAGCCAGTCATTAATTAGGTATATCGATTCTTCTGTCAAAGCTCTCTGGCCGGAACTGTGGGTATCACTG